ACGGCTAGCGCAGATAGCCCTCGTGTAGCTTTGCGCGAAATTCAAAAACAAACAGGCATTGAAGATAGCCCGAAGTAATTTTACTCTCAAACGAACAAACAATCAAAATTCACTGTATTGAATAGTATCGTTATCAAATAATACAATATCTTCAGACATTTGTATTATATTATTAGTAGCCTGTATTTTGTATCTTTTTTCACTTTTTCAGCCTTGAGCAATACGTTACCTCAGATTAAATTTCACAAATATAGCAAGCAAACCAAGAATTATTTTTCCGTTATTAGCCTTATCTAGAGTGTATTTTTAGCCGCGACATAATGTCTCATATAATGGCTCTGAGTTTTTGTTTTGTTTTCAAGTACAAACTTTTAGCTCGTAACTCCATATCTTGGCCGATTTGAGATCTAATAACAACCGCGTCTATTGAGTATTCTCTCTTGTTCTTTCTGTCTTTATCTCTTAGTCGTGAGTTGCTTCTTGAGTTGATTACAAACCTATAGTCTTCCACAGAATATACAGGGTAATATTTAATATTTAGGTAATATTTAGCAGTAGTATTTTTATCTTGTGTTGAAATAATCGACTGTTTCAGCATCTTGCTTCTGGTAATGCAAGTCCTCATTTATTGACCATTATAACTTTGATCGTGTTAAGTTATTAAAAACAAAAGAACAAATTGATTAGCTCTTGTGATGTATTTCAATCGAAAACATCATCATAGTTCCGTGTTCGTTCTTTTCTTTTATTCATTTTTAATAAGTTATTTTGGAATAACTAGTCATTGAAGCAACAAAGACGTTGCACGACATGCACCAGTCATCCTTTGTATAATTGTACTGAACCCCTCAAAAAAGTGGTCTGTGAAAGTAGTTAGGCTTATGTGTCAGAGCAACGAGTAAAATTGTCAACAACACGCTTAATATGCTGTTTAAAAGCTTGTTCCTGCTTGCCACTTATAAATAACTTACATTTGTAAGAGGAAAATTGTACGTCAAAAGAATGATGTTTCTTGTTTAACTATATTAATATACGTGTGTGTATATATATAGCTAAAACTAAATATGTATACAAACCTAGATTTTGGCCGTTATTCGGTCAATGAAGACCTAAAGTTATTGTTTTGCATATACGGGAAATTGGGCGTTAGAAATAAAAATGAAAGTTCAGAGAGAACAGTGGGTCTGCTATAATAAGAATGCCTGAGTTGTTGCGTTGCGAAAGCCTATCTGAAAAAAAAAAAAAACAAGGAACACGTGTTTTACTTTTAAGTCGTGTGTGTGTGTGTGTGTAACTCTTTGTAGGTATTTGTCTCATTTTAATGTGGCGTAACCTCATGTTTGGGGATTTATAATTTTATAATATGCATATTCATATAAATTTACTATGCATTAACTTATTATAAAATTGAATGTAACACAGGCTTGTATATTAAATATTTCAACGTACATGTTCCATACTACTAAATAGTTGTTGTAAAGTTGTTTGATTGGTTGAAGTTAAGCACAAGGCTACACAACGGGCTATCACTGCTCTGCCCAACACGTATATCGAAATCCAGTTTCTAGCATTGTAAGTCCGCAGGCATCACGCTATCCCACTGAGGGCAGATTTTAAAGATTAAAGTACTTGTATGTCACCTTTAAACAACCTCCAAACAAGCCAAAGGAAAACAATTTTCATTTCAATCCTCGTTAAATCATTATTCATATTTTCGAGTTTTCGCAGTATTTACCTTACACTTGATCATTAGTTGACAAAGAAAGACGGTAACTAAGCACATAATTTAAAAAGTGTTAACCAAAAGACACTTTGCATTTTAATGATTTTACTGTGTTTTTAACAGGTGACATCAGAATAAAAAAAAATATTTCTTTATAAAAGTTCCCAATAGATGGCAACACATAACGATAAACCTGCAAAATACAGAATAGTAGCGAAGATATCGGGCAGTACCTGGCAATATTTTTGGAAATACAAAACTGTTTAGTTTAAGAGTTATTAATTAGTTTATTTAGTGATTTAATAAAATAACTGATTTTTTCTGTGTGGACTTTGACTAAAAGGAGACAATTATTTAAAGCTCTGAATACAACTGTGGTAACCCATAGGATAACGAGATTTTTATATACATTTGACTTGTTTTGAATATATTATTTTAAAACAAGTGGATTGTGTGCTGTCCGTTTATTTTTGACATTTAACGCCAACAAATCACAGGCACCTACTGTAAAAAATCCGGTCCCATAAACCTGACAAATATAATGCTATATTTTGAACGGTAATATACTCGTGCTACGCGTAGCATTAAACATCACTTTCGGTAGGTATTGACTTAACGCATTTTGCTTCTGGCATCTTCGATCAGTTGATTTCTCATTCTTGGTAATATTCCTATTTGTTTTAGAGCAAAGCCACGTTAAGCAGGCAATAGAATCTCGGATTTTAGCGTTGTAATGTCGGTAATAAGGTGGCAAATTGAAATGGGCGCCAACACAAAACATTGTCTGATTGTTTATCCAATTATGCTAGATCCTTTAGGGGTGGGGCTTCTGAATTCATCTACTAAAATGTATACGCAATTGGATAAACCAGTTCTTCACATCAGTATTTACATACATATATATAATTTGAATAGTTATCCCAAATTTAATGAAGTATGGCATAGTGTATTACAATAAATATCTAGCCTACCACCACATATCAATTTCTGCTTGTACATAAATATGTTGCTCATTTACTTTAACCACTTCGTGAATTTATCAATTTTCTTTCTGAAATATAGTAAAATTGTTCTTCTATACGGTATGCCAAAAATTAATCAGAACGAGTTAGATACTTGTATCAAAACTAAAAATTAATCTGATAATCAATGTAGCTAATTAGATAAACTTTCAAGGTCTAACATTGCCTAGTGATTAGAGCGCTCGACTCTCAACATGTGGGTTGTGGGTTTGAATCCTGTCACTGAACTTGCTCGCCCTTTCATTCGGGGTGGGGGGCTATAATATGATAGTAAATCTTACTTTTTATTGGTAAATAAAAAGAGTAACCTAAGAGTTGCGATAGGTGATGTCGAATGGCTGCCTTCTCTATAGTGTTCTCACTTCTAAATTAGGGTTACTAACATTTGCTGACGCTATATTCATGAGATTTTAAAGGAGGTTTTGTTTACGTTTTAGTACACTGGACAGTCTCGGGTAATGGACAAGATGGTTTATGCAAGCTGGCCTATGAAAGAAAAAACACTTTGTTTGTGCTAAATATGTCCAATAATTTGTAAATTTTGTTGAATCTGTAGGTAAGGGTCAACGATCGGAAGAATATAATTAAAAAACTGAAATGTTATAGTATCTAAATATGTTTTGCTAGGCTAGTAACTTCCTTTGCCCTACATAACTGGTATTTTAAAAAGCCAAGTCAACTAAATATCCAAAAGGCTTTTTCAAGAAGTGGGATATAGGTTGACTGAAGGCAGGACAATTGTTGTTAGACTTCATTCATGTGAAAATATCCAGTTTCCTCCAGTCATGTGCCGTTCAAATGTAAATTACGTACATTGGAAAAATATATTCTTGTCTCATTTTGTTATCAGACTAAAATGAAGATAGCGTTTTTCAAAAGAGAGCAGTAGTAGTAGCAAGGAATAACAAATTGTGTGAAAGATCAGGTTTGATGAATTCATTATGTTAGATACACAAATCACGCATTAAAAGAGTAGACGATGGGGTTATTTCGGTCATATTAATATATAAATCGTATCGAGGACGTTGGCAGAGAACCATTATTAACTACGAGTATCAATGCGGTGTTAAAACGAGAAAATCATGTTTAGTATAGAAGTATTTCGGAACAATGGCCCTTATCAAACAAGGGGACTAAATTAGCCGTCAGATCTTTGGAAGTGGAATTTTAGATCTGGTAAGTAATTATAATTAAATTAAATTAACTGCTTCCATTTATTTACAGGCTACTAGTGGTTAGCATTCCTGGGCTGTGAATTCGAAAGTTCTCTGTTTGTGGCCCATTTTCGAAAAACGCGCTCCACTCTTTGGGACTATGGGTGTGTTATAAGAGTAGCTGTCACATCCAATTATTCGATCAGACAAGAGTAGTTCAAGAAGACTTGGTGATATTTGCTATTGGCTAGATTCATTTCCTTTAGAGTTTAGTCACCAGTTGAAAATTAGGAACAGCTGTGCGCAGATGGCCCTTGTGTAGCTTTGTGCGAAATACTTAAAAAACATATAAATATACATATATATAAATTGAAAAATTCAAGGCCATAACCTAAATGAAATGTTTGGCTACATCAGTCACATTCGTGATGTGAAATAAATAAATAAATCCCTCCTACCAAAAATTCTGAGCCCTTGCGATCATATAAATAGTGTTAACATACAGTCTTTAATGTGTATTAAAATTCACGTGAAAAGAACTATGAAGTATATTCTCTGGCAACATTTAGTTTTACGTCTTTCTAACATATGTCTCTTTCAGGTTTAGCACAACAACGAGGTAAAGACAGTGCTTGTGTGTATGATAATGGACAATTTCCACACGAAGACTACTGTGATTATTTCTACGACTGTATAGATGGCGTTGCCACCTTACAGCTATGCCCTAATGGTCTTGCATTTCTTGGTAAAGGGCGTGGCCTTCTCCAAAGTTGTGATTATCCAAAGAGGGCTGGTTGTCCAGACGGAAAGCGTGTGATGGGACGTAAGTAGAGAACGTTTTTCCCACCCCCTTTTTTTTGTTACAATTAATAAATGAGGTGAATGCACACTGAATTTTATGACGTTGTTTTGAATATATATATTGTGTAATTTAGAGTTTTTTAATAGAAAAGTCAGTGTTGCTTATTTATGTGAAAAATCATGAGTAAGGAAATTGATGAAAATGTATTTTTTCATTTTTTAATGTTTTTTGTGCTTAAATTTGAGTTCTTACAAAGTAGTGAACGAGAACAATATATTGGTTTTTAAGTTTCATAAAAAAATAGTTGTTATGACACAAAAAATAATTATATCACAAAAATCTTCGTAATTTAGTTTCACTTGGTTATTATTCTGTATTCGAATTAATAATTGTATACCTTTTTAGAACGACCATCCTCCAATATATTATAATTTATATTACCGTGTCGTTAATTTAAAAACGATTAATAAAAATTGACTTTTATCGTTATGCTTACTAATAACACTGCTAAACAAAAAAAAGTTTCTGTCTATCTTTTATGAAAATAGCTGTTCTTGACTAATTTTGGGGCGAAAATTACGAAAATCATAATGTTTTTTTTTCATATCGGGTCGGGTTTTTGAAATATTGTACCCCTGCCTTGAGACTTGTACACCACATAGCTTGCAATTATTGATAAGTTATGTAAGAAAAAAAAAGAAAAATTAAGAATTAAAGTTTACTTTATTCTATGAATAAAACTATTACAAAGCATATTTAAAAACTGTTAAAAGTTGATTTTTTGTGACTTCCGTTTGAATACTGAGTCACTTTCACGCTTGAGCATCCAGCAGTAATCCCCCATCATAGGCTGAGCTTCATATACCTTGGTAGTTCTTCTCTATTCTCGTAATATCTTGGTGAAAACATTCACTATGCTCACCTGAGACATCATCAAGATTTTCAGGGAAAAACTCTAAATGACTGAGCAAAAAAATGTGTTTTTAATGACATCCGTGCACCACTCTTTTAATCTGGATGCCAGCAGTTCAGACTGTGACTTGGATAGATACAAGTCTCTTGCTAAGTCATGTAGATCAGCTTGGTTGAGGAAGTGGGGTTCATTGGATTTAGGAGGACATAATTCATCATCTGTGTCATTCCCATGTGCTGATGATTCATCAGAAGACGAGGATATTATTTTTTTGTCAGTTGGTGGTGTGGGAACTGTAAGTTCTTCATTGTGAGGAACTGGCTTTATAGCTGAATCCACATCTGGATACTGAACTTTGTGCCTATTATTTGCTGTGATTCCGGTTATAATGGATTGATAGAAATAACAGTCATTTACATGGTTTTTGGGTTCACGCCAAATCATAGGTACTGCATGTGGGACGCTCTTATTTGGCCCGGCATGGCCAGGTGGTTAAGGCACTCGACTCGCAATCTGGGGGTCGCGGGTTCGAATCCATGTCACACCAAACATGCCAATCCCACTATACGTTGGTAAAAGAGTACCCCAAGAGCTGGCGGTGATGACTAATTGCCTTCCCTCTAGTCTTACACTGCTAAGTTAGGGACGGCTAGCGCAGATAGCCTTAGTGTAGCTTTGCGCGAAATTAAAAAACAAACAAACGCTCTTACTTTACCATTGAACCATTCCCTCAGACTTACTGCACAAGAATTGCTGCAAATGTGGAGTGCCCAACTCTTATTTTGATCCCCAACATGACAACCAAAGTAACAGAAGTATGCTGTCTTGAAACCAGGTGTAATATGTCTGCGTTGCGAGCTTGGTATAAAAATACTACAAACACAACATAATGAATCAGGTTGATTTAAGCAACCTCTTGAATAATTTATTTTCATCTTATTAGATCTGAAAAAAAAAGATAAATAAAATTAGCATATGTTATTATAAGATATATCTATGAAAAAGACAAATTATAATATTATATCATGCCATGAAGCACCAATATATACCCATGCCCAATATTGCTTCATTACCCACTTTATATTGAAAATCTAAACTTTATATGCAAAACTGATGTTTAATTCTGTAAATATCTCTACCAATTCAATAAAAAACAATGATTTTAGAGAAAATATGAATAAAGCATGATGATCACTACCCCGGATCTACCCCCTACCCCCACATGTACCACCGTCCCTTATACTAAAAACAAACTGGACCCATTGTGCAAAAAATAAGTTCGTTTTCGTAATCAGCACCCTCAAATTAGTAAAGAATGATACTTGTTTAGTATGATAGTTATTGACCAGTATAATAGGTTAAAGGGTAAATATTCCGAATTTTAGATTTTCCGCTGAGCCACTGGGGGGCATATACATAAGGAATTTAGCTTATAATACTAAAAACTGGGTTTCGATACTCATGGTGGCATAGCACAGATAGCTCACTGCGCAGCTTTGTGCTTAAGAACAAGCAAATTTTGTGTACAAACCTTTAGCTGCAAACACTTCTTCCTCTTCTGGTTTGAACCCGGAGTTTTCTTTTCAAAATCTTTACAACCTCTTTGGATATCCTTATTTTTCCCAAAAATAATATTGAGTGACTTGCAGTAATCATAGTATTTAATAACTTTGTTTGTAAATATGAAGATATCATACTTCTGTTAAAAGAATGTATTGAATGACTTCTGAAAGTGAACGTATGGCCTATATCAGTCTGTCAAATAAATCCTGTTCTTGTCTTGCTCACTCTCGTAATTTCCGAGTAAATCTTAGAAGAACTGTGTGTGTAATTATACTCCACTTTTACATTTACAGAAAGCCCTATCTCAACGGAAAATTGTAACTGGCTATGGGGAAGATTTCCCCACAAAACAAGCTGCACACGTTATTGGGAGTGTTGGAACGGCACCTACACCCTCAGAAATTGTGGATTTTCCCTTCTTTACAGCACTGAGAGTGAGTCTTGCGATTGGCCAGAAAACGTTCCAGGTTGCCAGCAACACCGTAAGTAATGAAAAACTGGCGAAGAAGTATCACAAACTGCTAGAAACTTTAATGAACCAGTACTAAATTTGACAATTCGTTAAGGCCGTGTGGTAAAGTACAAAATTATCAAAAATGGTGATACTTAATCCTATATCTAGAACAACATACTACTCTTGTGGTGTCAATATTTTAATTTCGAGGCTTATTTGAACAATATCAAAGACCATTAATAATACGTAACTTGGCTTTTGAAGGGCATAAATAAATGTAATTTAATCAAAGAGATGTATGTACAAAGGCTAAAAAGCCGTTGTTCATATTGCACAAAGGTATCAACTATATGTAATGATAACACATGGCAGATCTCTTCATGAATAACACTGGGTTTTCTGCTCAGTATAACCAACCTTACAGCATATAAAGGCTTTTTCCATCACGTTTTCCAAGTGAAGACAATGTGATGCTACATGAGTGAGAGAGCTAGGTCCCTAGTACAACGCCCCTGCTTGGCGGTGAATCCTACATATCCTCTTCACCTTGGGCACCTCATGAACCACTAGGAATATCTTAAATTTATAAATGTTATAACGAAACTAACTTTTAAAGAGAAGATTATTGTGTTACAGTTGCATTTGAGATTTGTCAACGAAAAATGTTTCTGCTACTAACCTTTAACAACCATATTGGATATACAAGACTGTTTGGTTTAAGAGTTATTATTTAATGATTTAATATTTAATTGCTATTTAGTTTTCATAACAAGAGTGTTAACGGTTAATTGATTTAAAAGCGATGTTTATGACAAATTTCGTTACATAACTCTGTACGAGTCCTACGCTGTGTATGCAGTTTAATTGTTGTACTAGGCTTTCGTAATATTGTTGACGTCATCTTACTTGAAGCTTCTAATATTGTTGTCACTAGAGGAATAGATATTCTAGATTTTTCTGTCGCATGTTATAAATACGTACAGATACAGAGAGGAAGTGAAGAAAGCAAGTTAAGTGAGAGATAATTACACAGATCTAGATTGAGTGATTGCCAGTTTAGTCGTGACAGGCGATTTCAGAAGAAGTTAAAGTAAGTTAGTAAAAGTGAAGTAAGATTGGGTGATTGTTAGTTTAGCCGTAACGGGCGATATTTTAAAGTAAGTTTCACAGTTTAATAGAGATAAGGAGAATAATTTGTCTTGTCAAAGGGTGTTCTAAAGTAAGTAAACCCGTTTGTGTGGACTTTGACGAAAAGGAGACAATTATTTAAAGTCCTGAATAAAACTGTGATATTCTATAGTGTAAAGAATTTTTGTACATACATTTGACTGTCCATTTATTGCCAACAAGTCACTGACACCTACTGTAAAGAATCCGGCCACATAAAACCCGACAAACCAAAACCTCAAGTGATAGAACCTTCTAGATTATTTGCAAGTTATATTAATTTTTTGAATTTCCAGTAAAATGTTTTAAATTTAAAACAGCTATAATATTTCGCCTAAATTTTAAAGTTATAGTTAAAACTACGTTTAAGGTAGGGGGCGGGGGTTCATAACCTTGATCAATACTTGAAAACCCCCAATTACTTATGCTGCTGGTACAAACCACCTGACAGTAGAGTTAACCATTAGAAATCGACATTATAGCCTGACAGGAAACTATTACAGGATTATAATACTGAATACCAAATCAACCATCTTTCGAAAGCTGAAAATTGTAACAATTTTTCAGCAGTTATTAATATTTATTTTGGCAACAATGATATCATTTCAACAAGTACTAGTAGAAAACAATGACAATATTTTTGTCATATAAACTGAAGACCAACTAGTAGCATCAATAAAAAAAATACCAGCGCGATAGCTTCACCAAGAAAATTTGCATTTAGTTAGAATTTGCAAAGTTATACAAATTGCATAATAACATTAAATAGACGTATGAAAGACGTCATGGGGAGGGGGTGTATAAACGATCCCCTCTTTTTGAACCACAAATAAACATTAAATTCCATGAGACGTCATATTTACCTGTAGGTTAATGGCAAAGTATTCAAAGTTACTGAACGGCCAGCCAGCGGTTCCTTTCTCAGTACTATTGAATGGGCAAAACGTAATAATGATAAAAATGAAGATTCTGACCAGAATAAATATTTCATAATTATAGGTGGAATTATGCATATCCGTTTTTATTACTAACACAGATTATTATCATGATCATCAAGTCAATCCTTTCTGTTTCGTAGCGACCTGTAAAAACATTGCCAACGGAGCAGTCCCTATTGAAAACAACTGCAAGAATTTTTGGCAGTGTATTGGAGCTTATCCTTTTCTCCAAGAGTGCCCTGCTGGTCTAGCATTCGATCCCCAGTTCTTAAGCTGTAGGTTAGCCACGACTGTTCCTGGATGGTAAGTAGTTTATTGCATGATCTTATTTTATTACCTGTTTTTAAAATGCCATGTTCAACGAAACCCGTACACATCTCTTAACTTTTACTGCGTCATTTGTAAATGAAAAAGCGTTATTAAAGCCATGGTTACTCGCCAAGAAAAAAAACGTTTCTGACTTTATAATGAGTAAAATGATATTTGAAAAAAAAGTCACTTGAGTCTACTCAAAATTATGTATTTTGTCTGGTTAATTTGGACATTAAGCCAGTTAGAGCGAGAGAAATGTAATTTATTTACATAATACAATCAAAACCATAAAACATTTTATTATGGTGAAAAGTAAAAAAAAACAGCTAGCTACCAAACACAAATTAATAATTTAACAAAAATACAAATAATATTAGATGTTGAGTTTAAATTCCTTATATATCATATTCAAACTAAAATCTTTGTTCAACTTTTTAATTCTAGCCTGTTAATAACAAAAGGTGGGACATTTTATTCCTAAAAAAAAAAAGGATACAACAATGAACAATCGAACTCTATGTCTTGGAGTGATAGTTTTACAAACGATCACAAGAGGGAGGTATAGTGCATTTGAATAAAACTTGGTTAATAAACCGTTACGTCTCTGGTCGTTTATTAATTTCCGGTATAAATTCTTCCCGAGGAACTTCAGCGATACAAGTCATTTCTTAAATAAAACTAGTTTATTCTTTCTCAATACAACTTTGCAATACACAATTTCCACAGTCACTTTAACTAAAACACACGCTATAATTCACAACGATTCACGCATTTTACTTACGACTTGACTGACTCGATTATCTGTCTCTATATCTCCCTATCGACAATTATTCACGCAGTCACTTAATTTGCCGGCTTATATACTAAAATAGAGGGCGCGTAGAAAAGAGTAGAGTTGCTGGGAACAGTCATGATCCTTCTAGAAACCCATGACGTGTTGCCAGCGTCACGTGACTACCGCTGTCGTAACAAAACCTTATTACCCTTTTAATAAATTCAAGAATTAATAAACAGCTGTAATGACGATTAATGCATGTAATGACGCTAGGTGTATTTAACCCACCTGGTTATATAAAATAAGTCACTCAAACAGGGAGGGTTTTTGATATTTCGCTACCCTAAACAAGATTTTAAAATGTCATTCCTGTCGGTCGTAAATTTTAATTTTAGCAGACCTATCTGCGTCTTATTAATTTTAGATTTAGAAAACCAGGGTTTTTCTCGTCTTCATTATTGTTGTTGAAAATGTGTGAAGTACTTCTTTTAGGCCTAGTTTCTTGAATACAGTAGAAGCGTGTTTTGTGTTTAAAGTGATTATCTGACAGTGTCTGCGTCTATGAAAACAATTTCCGAATCAATATGATTTGAAGAATGATATAAAGTGAGCGCAACATTCTATTGAAAGTAATATTTTGCCGCCCTAGACTATTCTCTAAACATAGTTTTCTACTCGACTGGTAGAATCAAATCCTTATTCTATTTATCGAAATATCTCATGAAATAAATTATTGAAATAATCTCACTTTATTCCTTTTTGTTTTATTATCTTCTTTAGAAGGCAGATTTATAAGCATGCCCAAGAAATTTTCGTATTTAACCAGGAATGTTCTGTTCTGTTCTTATGGTAACTTTTTGTTTTGTAATTAATTAATTTTTGATCTGCTTACAACAATTTTATTGTTTTTTTACGCCTTTCTTTTCGTTCTTTAAGCGAACCACCCCCCACGACAGAAGCACCAGAAGAGGAAGAGCGTCCAGCTTCTGGTAATCGTCGTCGTACTGGTGCTGGCCTACAAAGACAAAATTATCAAAGTTTGGACACAAGCAGTGCCAACCAAACGCCCCTTCAAAACAACCGCGTAAATGACAGACCACAGTTCAGGACAGCACCTGGAAAATGATTGACTAACGACATTTAATCACGAATTAAAAATTAAATTCAAGAAAGCCAATTTAAATAAATTTTCTAAGAAAGCTGAACCTGATCATGGTATCATCACAAGAGGTCCGGTACTTTTCTATGTATAGTATCCTAACTCTTACCTTTAGAGGGGGGACATTAGTTAAGCTTTAATCCTATGCTACTTCTTATAGTCAATGTTTAGTAAAATAACATTGTGTTTAATGTTGTTTTTATACATCGTGTTTTATACTCGCGACTGTCCCCTTCTTATAGTCAATGTTTAGTAAAGTAACATTGTGTTTTATGTTCGCGACTGTCCCCCTTAAAAGGATTGAAAATTGCGATTTTAATCATTAATCATTTTTGTGGCTTCTTCGTTTAATTCGTCACGAGTATTTCTCAAACACTTATCAGTAATGTATCTTAAGTTTTATTAATACAGTAAAAAAAATCATTTGTGATACTTAATCACACTACATCATTCTCATCTAAAATCTAATCAAATCAGATCAGATTAGTGTTTTTTTCAGTGTTCCCATTATTATATTTAAAAGAAAATTTTACTTTATTTGTGGCATCTTGTCACATTCGTAACATTGAAAAAGTAATCCGTTTTATTTGCCTATACTTCATATTAAAATGTGAATAGAGGGCATTACTATAATTTTTCATTTTCAACAATCACATATTTCTATGCGAGAATGTTACCTCTACTTATTCTTCGAGTTTTCGTTTTTGAGTAGCTTCGTTCTGCCATATTTAAAGTTTTCTTTTTGGAGGGAGGGGATTGTGAGGTATATATTAAATTAAAATATCTTTATATTACAAACTGATTTTCTGATCTTCTCATTTTAATCATCGTTTGTACACATTCTGCATTAATATTTGTAAATAAAAGCAATGAAAAGCAGCACTGGTGTCCTTGAGACAAAATTGCTATTCCACAGAATCTAGCACTTGACACTGGTTAACTTTGCCAGTAAAAACAGCATCAGATTTGGTAAAATCTGTGAAGAAGTAATTAAACTTCAAATATAGGCAATTACCACTTTAACTGTATGGAAAAAAACAACAATGCATCATACTTAAAGCTTGAAAATTTCTGACACCTGTTTGCAGCAATAATAAAAAAAGAAAATCTCCTGTCTCTACTGTTTCCAAATCTATTATTCTTCAATTTGTTGGACCTTTAACACAATGCATAAACTATTCTGTCATTAGTAATAGTGGAGGTTTAAAAACGTAAATGAAGTTTAGTAACAAAAACATTGATTTCAAACAACATTTTAGATATTTATTTCCTACTTTTTGGTGTTATGGTCACAAAAAGCAAATCAACATTCAATGACACACACAATCAACAGTTTGTAAAAAATAAGTTGTACAACAAAAAATACAAATTATAGTTAGGATCTCACTCAAGAAATATGAAAATTACTTAAACAGAATAAAATAGTTGCAAGCCAATTCTTGAAAAAGGAAAGGTGTACTTCATATAGGAATGACTTCATTAAATCACTTATGGTGAAGTGTTGTTACTGTTACATAGTTCGTATATGATGACTAACCAAAAGTCCAAAAATAAATGCATTTATCTCTGTTTAAAGCTTGAATCTATTTTACAAGCACAAAATGACAAATTAATTTTTAAATATATACATATATAGAAAGTTAGGACACATACGTGGGTAGCAACAAAGCAAAACAGAGACTAAACAAAAAATGAGAATTTCTGGGGTAAAAGTGGTAGTTAAATTGAGCAGTAAATTTTCTGTTCAACAAAAATAACTAATCCATAAACAAAGACTCAAAGAAATTGTCTAAAACTTGGAACCAAAAATTACAGTTGAGAACTACACATGGGCCTCTGTACTTCTCCATGATATTCTCCATCAACCTACACTAACAAAGCCTACCATAATACTAGCTTTGTACCATAAAGCTATCCCACAGCATGGTAATGTAATTCAATGTAGATTCATGATGTTAGGAAAATATGTAGGTTCCAAAAAATCAATTAAATACAAAACCCTATAACATAGGATTTCATAATTCAAGATTGAGTTCTTAACCCTCAAATTACAAACTTATTCTCATATCATTCACATATTTCATTAGATTGGATATATTTTATGCTTTTCTGTGTTAAAACACTCAAGTGTAAATACATGATCAGAAAAATAGTTTTTCTTTAAGTTAAATACATAGAGAATGACAGCAGAATTAAAAGCAATAGTGGTGGTATTTTTTTCTGTTTAAGTCATATGATATTAGGGACTATAAGCAAAAAACGTCCTTGGGCCCACAAGCAATTTGGTTGATTAATAGTTTTGAAATATGTGTTTAAAAAGCCAGATGGGGTTTGCATAGATCACACTGATAATCCTAGGATTAATTTGTTCTGGGAACAGAACAACTATATATATCCTTCTCAAAGCATAATTTCAATAACAAAGCTTGTACTTGTGTCAAAACAGTTAAAAATGTAGTAATGAAATTAGTAGTTGAAAAGATGGGATGTATGAAGCTAAAATTGGAAATAGATAATCCACTATTCCATTGACACGTTATTGGTTGACTGGGACAGAACAAATACTCCCCAAGTTGTTAGCAAATGGTCTACATCTGCTGATGTCACAATCCTATGCACTTTCAAAAAGACCTTTATTAGTACCTCCAGATCAAAAAAATCTTACCCAAGTAATAAACAGTGATAAAAGTATTCAGAGGTTTGTCAAGTATATGGATAGAAAAAAAAAGGAAGACTAAATAATTAAGTCAACAATTCTGTTTATGGATACTTTAAGTTAGGATGGCAAAGGCTAACTAAATCTACAGATGAAATCACCATATTCTTGTTGATTTATGTTCAAAAATCAACAAGAAAAAATGGGTCTGTCTTACAACACCTGGAAGGCAATCTATGGCTAAAACCACAAGACAAATGTATTCTAAAAACTCAAATACAGCTAGGCTAGATATAAAATTTAGCTATTGCTAGAAGAGGTTAATAGGAATGCACCCAATGTAAGATATTCATGATTGGATCAAGTCATTCATTAGCTCTGAAGAAAAAAAGCCTAAAGAACACATACATACAAATGGAAAAGAATGTCAAAAAGATATTTAAAATCAGACTCAACAAGTTCTGATTCACAACTCCTGCTGTTTTGGGGTTTGAAACATGAGAGCTTATAGGTAAATTTTTGAAACCAATCAGTATCAAAGGCTAAAAACATCTGAGGAGTCTTCAAATTTGACATCTTTTAACAATGATATGATGGAAACACCACTCAAAGTTCAGTATGTTTCAAAAACAAATTTATCCAAATTATTGGAACTTCAGATGTTAAAAAAAAAAGTTTTAGAAACCAAAGCTGTACAAGATTTAGGAAGGAGTTGGACAGTATTGGTAACATATCTCACACACCCCTTCTCCAAATTTCAAAGAAATCAATAAGTGAAAAGTTGTGATATAGAAGTTAAGTCCGAACTTTTCAAATCATGCATCAGAAACAAGAACTTAAAAGGAAAGTTAACAACTTAAAAAAAAATCTCCTTGTTGATGTGCAAGAAACCAAGAGTTTGGATCATTACAAACAGAGAACAATTAACACCATAATGGGTAGTAGTAGTAGAAGTAGAAGATAGCTCCCATGCCTATAAAACACCCTTTGGCATCAAACTTAATGGAATTGTCATAGCAACAAGCATGACAGAAGAGAAATCACCAGATGTACAATGGCTTGAAATATAAATCAAATTTATCCTGCTTATGTGATTAATTATGACTGTGTTGTAGATGTTTATTAACATTTTTAAATTTTCCTGTAGGAAGTAATCCAACAGACACCAGAAAATTCCTAAGTTGATCATAAAATAAAAGTTAGAACAGGTTTTTGTGTTAAGTTGGAAATGGTTGTCTTTATGCAAGCCTTTCACTACAAAAAGAGATAAAATTATCTGGCCATTATCAAGAAAAACTTGAAAATTTACATTCTTATAGAAAAATTAAGATTATATCAATCATAAAGGCTTTACAGTTTTCAAAGAACACTCAGCTGGATAGTTCCCTGAAAACTTACTACTTGGAATAAAAGATAAAAAGTTTCAGATAGTTTGATGATTATTAAAAAAAATCAAGCATTTAGAATAAAATTATTTATAACTTTTCTTAACAAGTTCAATTCCATGATTTTTAATAAAATACAGAGTGTAAGAAATTGTAAAAAAGCACAAACTGTGGTTGAATAACTGACAACTCTTAAAAACAACAAAAAAGTTTCTCAACTAGATATTTTTATGTCATTTGATGATAACTTCTTTTAAATATTAAAAAAAGTCTACAACAGCTATTTTTACAAATGATTTTACAATAATTTCTTTTAAAAATAGTTACATAAAGAAGTCACTTTTTAATATTTCTTCTTTAAAAAAAAGTTAACCAGCAAAACTGTCTCAAAGATTTTCAGAAGTCATTTTAAACATCTCACACAAAATCATTAGAACATAAAAATGAAATTACCGAGATGTTTTTATATAAACACAGTTAGTGCTAACAGAAGCCCTTAAGGCACATTCCTTTCTTCTTTGTAAGCAGAGTAATAGTTAAAATTCCAGTTAAGGCCGCTTAGCATTACTGTACAGGCACACACTATCACACACCAATATATATACACACATACATACATATGTATCAAAATTTACACAGAACAGGGGAATTTCTTTCCCCCCTACACACTCCCAAGTCTCACATGTGAGATAACGTTTTACTTCTTGACTCTCTCTTAAGAGAAAAATATGGCATTCGATAAAGAAAACACTTAAAAATGTTTTACATAACTAATGTATTTATATAATATATATATACATTTTCATTTAAGACAAAATTAATCATTCAAACCTACACTGTTCCTCATCAGTTTGGAATTTGCATCTAATTTCTTGTATTGTTACTATATCACATACTCACTGAAGTCATTTGATATATGACAGACATTTTTCAAACTTATCTTTAGAGTGAGTACTTTTCATACATGTCAAAGAACAGTTTCACTTTTGTACTAAATGGAAACAGTAAGTGAAGAAGAGAGCTGATTTAAAAAAAAAAGGCTCTTGAAGAAATAAGCAATACAACTGCTCATTTAGTATAACACATTAAACTGCCCTCTTAGGAGATTCACAATTAATTTGAACTTATGACTACCAAATTAAATTTTTTTTTTTTACTAATAAGCAGAAGTGATTTCTCTTAGAGGTGTTAATATCCTACTGTGAATTTCCTACTTGGAACATTCAGCAAAGCAATTTTTTTTAGAAAGTGAGGTCATACTGCTTTCTTCAAATGCAACAACCTATCCATGGGATTTCACCTCCGTTTTCCATGGAGGATTTAGACTTTATTGAAGTGCAAAAACCAGTTTTTATATAAATCTTGAGCATCAAGTGTCGTTTTGTCATTCTTCCATTGATATTTTTATTCTATCACTCCTTCATCAAATGTCATCAGGTTTGCTGGAGGCTTAAAAAAAAAAATAATGAAAACTTTAATATTACATACCACTGTATTCCCAAAATAACCTTATGAAACAAGTCTTGATCTGTTTGGTTCAACTTCTATTTTATTGCAATATTATAAAATCAATAACCTTATTTTTTAGATCAAATATTTCACAATTCTCAGGATTTTTCAAAGTTTAATGTATTTAGTATTTTTACCTGAATGGCCAGGTAAGAGACTGCTAAAGTTCAGACATAAGACATCACAAATTTAGACCAGAGGGAACACAATCAGCCATTACCAACTACAACATATGCTGTTATTCCGAGCCAAATAGTATGATTGACTATCACAGTTATAATGTCCCACAGCTAAAAGTGTATTTTTAGTGGTGGCATATCTTACCTCGTATATATATATATTTATGGCCCAACACTGCTCTTAGTTCAGTGCAGTTCTGGTTTTAGATAAATAATCCAAACTCCTCAATATCAGAATTATGAATGCTCACAATCTTAACATTTAATAATGGAAAAATTTCTCAATGATGAGTCAAAGGCCATGTCATAGTGTTTATTGACTCATTCATAATTTTATTGAACTACTATTTCATGTATTTATGTCAATAAGTTTGGTATCAAACTAAGATTATAATTCAAATTTTAGTATTATACATTATTTAATTTCTTAATTTAAAAGTAAATATTAAAAAACACAGTTAAACATCAATTTTTGTGTGTCATGTGGTATGTTGAATATAGAACTAGTTAAAATTAGATCTGTGTGATCTATAGTTTCATACGAATTAAGAACTCAAATTACCGATATTGACAAGCTAGAATATAAAATAAGAACCTCGTATCTTTTCTATTTACTGATATATCACTCATGTAAGGAATAAAACATATATATACACACACACATTTACTTCAGTATATGACATGTGAATAACCATTCAAAAGTTCAAAATACTAGTCTACTAAAACACAGCCAAGACATGTCACTTTGTAAAGAATAAAGGTCAGTTTAATATCATTGGGTACAGTAACATGAGTGCACGTGTGCTGCATCATTGTAACTTCTGTATTGTTAGTCAGGTATGGCTGAAAGGTCAGTATGATAAAAATAATTATACATATATATATATATATATATATTTTATATATAAATGTATAATGTTATGAGATTTAAGCTATTTAGTCTAAACATTTATGTTTTCATGTTATAATTTGTTATCATTCTAGAACGAAAGAGGCATAACTTTTATTTATTTCCTAATCTTTTATGGTGATAGGTAAATCTATCGCACCTATACAGAGATTCATTAGTGAAAATAACAGATAAAATATAAAGTTTTTTTTCTTAACAAACATTTGATAACCATCTGGACATTATAATGATTTTGCATGTGAATTTTGAAAATTTTCTGATGTATAAAAGTATTTTTAATTTTAAAATGAATATTACTTTGCATGATAGACAGGCAACATGCAAAAAGAAAAAAAAAGACACGAGACAAACATTGCCTAACAAACTTCAAGACTTAATAAAAAAATAACTGATATTTTGTATATGAAAGCATTATAATTTTACTCATAATCTACCAAATTTTGTTAACATGCCCTTAGTAATTTCAAAGTTATAGCATGAAAACTACAACAAACAAAATGGTTACGAGGTCGGTCCCAAGGACCAAGCCAGTGCTGAAAGAGTTAACAGACATTCATCATGTATTACAGAAAACTAGTCTTTGAATGTTGACTGTATATGCTGCATTGCATTTCTAACCAAAGTTTTGAAGTATATTCACACATTAGACACTTTTTTTTTCTATTTTAACTTTCTTTTCCAAGCTTGTGACAACTAAAAACCTAAAACCCTTCAAGACTTTCCATTATATTTCTAATGATTTTGATATGTATTTCTTAATGTAGATCTAGAAATATAAAGTTATTGTAAGTTCTTATAAGTTATAAGGCTTAAGTATATATTATCGTGGTGCAAAATAAAACTTTTCTAAATGTTACCCAGGCACAGTAATAGTTTGTGTGTGTCTATGAGATTTTTGGCTAGAGCAAGTAAGTTATTTCAGAAGAAGTCTAACAGAAATAAGACAAAGCTCTACCTGCTCTTGATATTGTTTGGTAGCTTCGTGAAGATAGTAGCACCACTCGAGTGCCTTAAGTTGTGTACCAGCTCGGAACTTGTAGATATTTCCTTTCAAAGGATCACTCAATTGGAAAGTATCAGGCTGACGAGGGTTTTCACTCCGAACAACCATCCAGTCAACAATTGATGTTATCTTGCTAGGAGTGGACTTGAACTATTTAAGGACAATTATTAAATATATGAAACATCATGATTCTAATCCAAACCCTTCATTATGTGATAACAGTCAACAATTTTGTGCATTTGTCAAGAAAGGCAACATTTCTTTAATTTATACTACAAACAATTGTTTAATAACACATATACAAGAGAAAGGTATAAAGTTTTTATCTAGAAATCAAATACAGGGAAGTCCAAAAAATTTCCTCTACCATGATATTTCTAACTCCCACTCTTTGATTTTTCTAAGCCATATTTACATTTCACCAACTGTATTTTTCTTTTTTGGTAAGTAGTGGAGATGTCACTAATTCTATAAAAGATATGTTAAGTGAAATATCATGGTGATGCACGACTATTGTATCACAGTATTCTTGGTTCAAATGAAATTTCCAATTTTCTTGATGAAATACAGAATTTCAAAATGCTATTCAACTAGAACAGAAATATATAAAACAAGGAGGGTAAAATATTATAAGGAGAGTAGTGAGCAAAAAATATTTTAGAAGGAAATTGGAGTAAGTTGAGTAATTTTTATTATATATATGTTACAGAAATCAAATTCAAAAGCAATAGGTCAAAACTTACATCTGGCCTGTCATGTCCTTTAAGAGTTTTTGGAGAGAAGTAAATCAAGGATGTTCCCCAAAGACTCACCCAATATCTCATCCATGATGACACCTAAAAAGACCTAATTCTTTAACGTTTTTACTTGTAAACAAATAACATGATCAGTATTATGAGTCTATTTTCTTCACAATATTTCTTTTTCTGCATTATTAAAAATCAATTTCTCATAAAGTGACTTCATAGCTGCATTGACAAACTAGTTAACTTTCAGAGAATTCTGTTATCTGGCATTGATTTTACATATTCATCATGGCAATAAGTGCACTATTTTGAGTAAAAAACGAATTTCAAAAATGTTATTACTATGGTTTAGGTTTGAGAGAGTCCTAATTAGAATTACTTAGTTACTAATAAAAAAAAAAGTGCAATAAGTCAATTATGAAACTTTTCCTTTAATTAACTTCACTATTATTTAAACCAGTGTTTCTCAACAACTGGTCCAAGGGATTTCACAGAAAGATGATAAAGATTATTCATGTGTAAATGAAAATGTTTGTTGTAATTGCATTTTAGTGGTCAGTGACAGTTTAGGGAAGCAGCGAGCTAGCCCCTGGTATCAAAGGTTGACAAATGATGATTTTAATTACTCGTATTTTCTACTTTTTAAGCCATAAATATTTCAGTATCTAATACAAGTTAATATAAAAGTAGATTAAGAACTCTCACACAATTGATATTAATCCTTAATTACTTCTGTATTTGTATTTATGTCAAAGTTACTAAGGCTATTTGTCACCATCCCCAATTTTGAGCTACTAACCAGAAAAAAAGCGGCCACTCAGCAGCACTCTACTGCCCACACTATAGAATTGACTGTCACTCTTATAATGCATCTACAGTTTAAAGTGCAGGGAATATTTTGCAGTTCTGCATGGATTCAAACCTAGTTCACCAGCTTTGAAATTCAAAGTGTTACTACAGGGTCAACCCCCCACCCCCATGTTACTTTAAATTACAAGTTACTTAAAAAACCTTGCATATTTAATTTATTTGGAAAATTAAAAAAACAGAAAAATATTTTCAACAAATTATACTTTAATATTTATTTCAAACTTTTCTCACAAAGCTACACCAAGGGTTATATGCAGAAAGCTGTCCCTAATTTTGAATCAACAGACTATACAGAAGGCAGCTAGTCAGCAGCAACCACTGTTAACTCTTGAAATATTCACGTCAGACTAAATAGTTTAATGTGACCAAAACACTTGTAGTAAACCCATGGCCCCCAAAATGTGGAGTGCATTCTTACATCAATGGACTATGAATAACGAACCCTCAAATGAATAGTCTAAGTACACTAACCATTGTGCTATGGCTGACCCACTTTGGAAAGGAAATATGTTACCAACAGCCAGCTTATTCTATACGTATCCATTGAATACAAGCAATATATTTAACCCTCATAAATGTATGTATATATACAACCTTAAAACTGCATTTAACTTTTTTATTAAAATTTACAGTCATTAAATTGACTTATAACAATACATATTTTCCCCAAAAACAAAGCTTAAAAAGTCTATTAGTCAGTACAGTAGACATTGATAGAGTTACACTTAGTTTTTACCACTAAATAACACTTTTGTATTATATTTTATAGTTGATACTACATCTACCTGAAAAAAAAAAAAACAATTTTAAGAGAAATACATTTATAACATACAAAATTAAAGAACTAAGTTCATATCTGAGATTTTCAGACATGAAAAAATTTGGTAACAATGCAAATCGTCAACAGTGAAGAAATGTGCTTTCTTGTGTTTCTTAAGAAATGACAGATTATATATTTGATCGAAATCTCACATATTACTGGTTTCTTGTGTTTTTTAACAAATGACAGATTATATATTTGATCGAAATCTCACATACCACTGGTTTCTTGTGTTTCTCAACAAATGACAGATTATATATTTGATCGAAATCTCACATACCACTGGTTTCTTGTTTCTTAACAAATGACAGATTATATATTTGATCGAAACCTCACATACCACTGGTTTCTTGTGTTTCTTAACAAATGACAGATTATATATTTGATCGAAATCTCACATACCACTGGTTTCTTGTGTTTCTTAACAAATGACAGATTATATATTTGATCGAAATCTCACATACCACTGGTTTCTTGCCTTCCTTAAGCAAAGTTTTTCGTTTAAGACATCCTTGGAACCTCATTTGTCCCTCAATTAGTTCTGGGGTTAGCTCTTCCGACCCACTAATTTTATACAAAATAGGTAACAATGTAAACTACCATTCAACAAGCTAATAATGTAAATCACTTTTTATAAACTTAACTTTCTATATATTAGCAATTCATATTGATTTTAAGATATACTCCACTTGTATAAAAGTAACATGAAAACAAAAATTACATTAAATAACATTTACGAATTTATTATAATAATAATACTTCTGTTAGATTACTATGCAACATTTATATAATGTGAAGTGTAAACAAACATGAGTGGTGAATAAGAAAATCTTACACAAAAGTTAACCCTAACTGTACTTTTATCTAGATTTCAGTGACATCATATATAGATACAATTAAACTGACCAAAATATTCAACAAAACAACACACCAACAGTAATAAGGCCACATACCTGGTATGTTTCATTGGAAGAAACAAATCTGAACTTTCATCCATATGGTCCAGTCCATTGTTTATTTCTGTTGAAAATAAGAACAAACATTTTGATACTGCAAGTATGAAAACATTTAATAAAGAATGCCTATAACATAACGTTTTGGGACAACATGGTACCTATTGGCCCATCTCAGCTGTTCCATTCTCTAAACTAAACTAAAATTATTAATAAATAATTTTTTTTTTAATCTTAAAGCCAGCCCTTATCATTCATTTATTTATCTAATTTTTTCTTAACTCACTTCAATTTACTGCCTCCACAACATCTGAAGGCAACCCATTCCAAAGACCAACCACCCTGTGAGAAAAATAAAGATGTCTTAGCTGAAGATGATTCCTTCCTTGCCAAAATTGTGTCCCCTAGTCCTGCTATACTGACTGTTAAGTATGAAAAAAAAGATGATGCATCAACACTATCAATTCCCTTTATATTCTTAAACACCTCAATCAGATCCTTCCTAACTTCTTTTTTCAAGAGAAAACAGTTTGAGAGATTTCAGTCTCTCCTTCTATGATAATCCCTCCATCCCAGTAACCATTCTAATAACCCTTTCCAACAATTCAATGTCTTTCCTAAGGTAAGAAGCCCAAGACTGAACACAATATTCCAAATTTGGCCTAACCAGTGACCTGTACAATGGAATTATAACTTCTTTAGACTTGTATTCAACATTTCTGTAAATAAAACCTATAATCCTACTTGCCTTACCACTAGCAACAGTACACTGCTTGGATGGCATTAGAGACTATTCAACTATTACACCAAGATCCCTTTTTTTCATGACCCTGTTAAGGTTATTCCCATCCAAATTATACTTATAATTTAAATTATGATAATCTACATACATTATATTGCATTTATTATAATTAAAACCCATTTTCCATTTATTTGTCCAACTCACAAAATTATTTAAATTCTTTTGTAAATCAGCAGCATCCTCTTCACACCTAGCAACAGCTATTTGAAGTTAACAATAAATCTAAAATAAAATTGTTTCCAGTAGGTTCCTTGACTAATTGGTGAAGAAAGCCATCTTGAACAGTCTCCAAAAACCTTTCTCCATCATGGTTTGACTCTAGAATTTCCCAATCTATGTGTTTGAAATTAAAATCACCATAAGTATGACTTCATTAACAGCTGAAATCTTAATCTCATTGTAAAGTTTCTCATTGATTTCATCAGTTTCATTTGGTGGTCTGTAAAAAATCCCCACTAAAAGCATTTTCCCTTTATATCCACTAATAGAAACCCAAATGGATTCAATATCCTTGCTGTTACCTTTGATATCCGCAACTTGAACAGAATGTAACTCACATTTTACATGTAAAGCCACTCCTCCCGTCCTCTTAAATACTTTATCCCTACTTACTCTTTCAGCACGGGCTCGGTCCCTGGGACCGACTTCGTAAACATTGTGTTTGTTATAGTTTTAATGCTATAACTTTTAAATTAGTAAAAGAATGTTAATGAAATTTGGCAGATTATCAGTAAACATTACAATGCTTTCATATGCAAAATACCATTTATTTTTTATTAAGTCTTCAGGGTTGTAAAGCAATGTTTTTGTCATGTCTTCTTTTTTCACATGTTTCCTATCTATCATGCAAAGTAATATTCATTTTAAGATTAAAAATAATTTTATGCATCAGAAAATTTTCAAATTTCAAATGCGAAATCTTTATAATGTCCAGATAGTTATCAAATGTTTATTAAGAAAAAAACTTTATATTTTATCTAATATTTTCAGTAATCTTTGTATGGGTTCAGTAGATTTGACAGATCTTGCAACCACCATAAAAGATTAGGAAATAAATAAAAATTATGCCTCTTTCATTCTAGAATGAACACAAATTATAACACAAAAACAAATGTTTAGACTAAATAGCTTAAGTCTCATAACATTATACATTTATTACTTTATTATATTGACCTTTCAGCTGTGCCTGGCTAACAATACAGAAGTTACAAAGATGTGGCTCATGTGCACTCACGTTACCGTATCAAATAACATAAAACTGACCTTTGGTCTGTACAAAGTAATTTGTCTTGGCTGTGTTTTAGTGGACTAGTATTTTGTAATAAGTTCTTAAACTTATATTTCTTAAAACATAGAACTGTAACTAAAGAAGTAAAGCAAACAGTTATCTCTTCTAGTTCCAATCTTTGTACTCTGTTGCTGCTTAATGTAGGTTACTAAGCCTTTAAAAAGTTTGCACATGGTGGATATGAAACAAAATAATTTTTTTAGGTTTTATATATACATTTGAATTACTAAAAATAATAAATTACCATACCAATACCATAGAATTCCACTATAATTTATCTAGCTTAGTAACTAAGATGTATTTTAGTCTAAACAAATATGAAATGTCAAGCAGCCTAAAGACACATCCTATCTTGTTAAAGTATTGGTTCAAAAGAAAGAAATGTTGCCAAGCCTTTTAAAATGGCCGAGAAAGCCACTAGTGGACATTCTGAATTTCCCATTGGTTATTCATGTCATATAAAAAGTAAGTGTATATAATGGAAAGAGATGGGCGAGGTGCTACTGTGTTTGATTTATTACATGAGCAATATCTTAGCAAATAGAAAAGATATGTTCTAGCTTGTCAATATCAGTAATTTGAGTTTCTAATTTGTACAAAACTACAGACTTTGTATTTTGACTTCATAAACATCTAATTTGAACCAGTGCTGCATTCAACATATCATGTGACACACAAAATCTATGTTTATCTGTGTTTTTTAATATTTGCTTTTAATTTAAGAACTTCAGTAATATATATAGTACTAAAATTTGAATTATAATCTATAGTTTGATGCCAAAGTTATTGACGTAAATTCATGAAATAGTAGTTCAATAAAATTTTGAATGCGAGTCAACAAGATGACATGGCCTTTCAGTCATGACCCATCTCAAAAGGGTTAAACAGCCTGTAATCCTGTATTTCAAAGAAAGTTCTGTCATCAAAATCATCTATCTTTAACCATATTTCAGTTATTCCAATTATATCAAAATCCTTCATTCACACCAGTGTTCTAAAGTCATCTATTTCATTTCTTATATTTCTAGCATTACAATAGTAACAATTAAGCCTACCTTTATAACTACTTCTATACTCATTTCCTATGCTAAGCTTTTCTCTGCTTCTTAATCTTTTTTGCATTTAGTTTTCCTGGCCCTCACCACTGCCTTGTCCTAGTTTAAAACTTCCCTTATGGCTGAGTTAATAGCCATAGCCTCCTATCTTATTTAAATGTAAACCATTCATTCCAAAAGGCTCCCTTCTTCCACTGAATTGATCCCAGAAGTCCAACCAGCCAATCTGCTCATCATTACATAATAACCTAAGCCTAGCATTTAGCCCTAGTAAACTACTTACAAACATCCATTTCTTCACTTTCACAAATAGAATAATAATAATAATAATAAAACATTTGTATTTCCTCGATAATCCATGTTCTCAAAATATAATTCCTGAAAAGAATAATAGCTGAATATTATGCAAGTTTAAAAATTCAGCTGCCTGCTGTAACAGTTTCTCAACTAAAAAGTGTGTGAAAACCTCAACCAAACCAACTCATTGATAGAGTAACTGTTGAGAGATATCAATTTCCTTTATTATAACATGTTAAGAAACAAAATTAGATGAACACCACAAGTTTATAAGTGAAAATAGTAGGATGTATATCGCAATGACAGGCATGAAGGAACTATTCAAGGTATTTAGCTTAGAAGATGCAAATCTGTTCATATTACCTCAAAAAATAAAATGAAAAAGCAAAGCCTGGGTATGTGATATTTACAATATTTGTGGTCAATACTGAGCATGTTTGCAGACCTACAAAACTGCTCACAAAATATTTACAGCACAATTAAAAGATATTTTAAATCTAGTGTATATAACAAATAGTACTGGATCCACCTAGCTACCTTTAGACACTTACTTTGTTATGTAAGAGCAACAAAATAAATCCAACAAAGAATTCAGTGAATCCAAATTAGGCCTCTACACTGAAATTCACATTTTGGTGAAGAAAATAAATTAAATAAATAAATGACCAGTTAGTCCTCTGCTAAATAATAATGGATAATTAATTGTGACAATATGTCAAATTATCCAAACACAAATTGTTATAGGTTATTAGTGGTAAGTTAAGGATTATACATCAGAACCAATCAAACTGTTTACAATTACACCACTATATCAGGTCTACTCTATTTATTTATTTCACACTTCCAAGCAGCACTGATGAGTTGCTAATTCAGCAAAACTAGTCTGTTGCAATGGGAGTAGCAAATCAAAGAATAGATTAAGCCTCTACATCATTTCCTCACTGAAATTTGTTTTGATGAGGAAAAGAAATTCACAAATAAATGAAAAGAATTCAGTGAGTTATTATTATTGATTCATAAAAGTTAAATAAAATTCTGCATTTTGTGTGTGTGTGTGTGTGTGTGTGTGTGTGTGTGTG